TATTAATTAGTGTCCACTTTGTTAAATTTGTTTTCAAATCATTAAATCATTTTGTCATTCAAGAATATAGGATAACTTCACTCCCCCTGGATAGCGTCATCATTCCAAATAGACTAATTACGTTCACTTTCAAACTGCATCGCTCTCACACTCAAATCACAATCACTCCTTAATCAGCCTCCCATTCGCATCCCGGTATTGCAAAATGATGTTTGGGATGGAAATGGGCTAGAGGAGAGATATCAGAACCTTTTCTTCATAAACTTTGATTTATGTTCTGTAATTCAAGTTTGGTTCCTTGATGTCTTTTTTTTTGTTTTTTTGGTGATTAAACTGTGGCTTAAGTCGAAATTGCACTCTTAGCTATCTTCTCACCTCAATTTTGGTTCAATTTTGTTTAGTAGAAACTCAAGCCAACGCTATAATTTGATTCCGTTAGTTCGATCATACATATAGAACAATATAACAAAGATTGAGAAGGATTTTGAGATTTTAATGTATTTGTCCCTCATGTTCTTAAGCCACATCTCTAATAGCAAAACCTCAATGGCAAAAGCATAACTTAATTAATATGGTCGTCAATACTTTCTTCACCAGAGCACTTATTTACAAATAAGCTTTAGATATAAAGAAAACAAATCTAGCTGTAGGCAACAGGGCTAGGCTCACCGGTCTTGCGATGGTTCTTTACTTGGCGCAGGCTTGACAAAAGAGAACTCTTTAGAATCAGTTTCACCATCACGGCTAGTCTCACCGGTCTTAGTCTCTAGCTTATCTTGTTCAACCTTCACAACAAGCTCGATGTTCGGAGACATGGGAGGAGTCAAAGCTTCGTTGTCTGTGTCAAGATCCGATGTTTCAGGGTCAAGTCCTTCGTATCTCATCGAATGTCCTGTGGTTTTATAACGCTGCAATGACCGTATGGACAAAGAAGACCTAACAGTTGATGCTGTAGGGCTCACACTTCCATCTCCACCTAGTCTCTTTGTGGTGCCAACTTTGCCGCCTTTCTTCTTTTTCACCGCCATTCTCCATTTCTTAAGAGCCTTTGATGTTTGCTCATCGAATACTGATTTCTTCATCCGCGAACCCATCTGGGATAAAGCAGATTTCTCGGTTTAAATTCTGAACAGGAATGGCCAGATTTGTTTATTATAAGCAACGGAAAATTACCTGAGTTACAAGTGCGTACAGAGGAAGTGTGATATAGCTGCAAAGGCACAAGACTCCCACACTGCAAGAGAGTAAACAAAAAAAAAACCACAAGATTTGTGTAAGCTCATACGTTTGTCTACAAATACAAAATCTTTAGTCTCTGAGATTAGATTCTTACGCGATTGCTACTTTTACAAGGGCAATCTTGAAGTTAGGATGGTAGCAGGAATCTTTCCCAAAGGAATACTGCATTACATCGATGGAAAAACAGAAGATTAGTCATTATTGTAAGAACGAAAAGTGAAGAATAAGCGAAAAATAAGCCAAGTGGTTACCCATATCCAGAAGAAATATGTGATCTGAAATGCGTTCTGCA